AAAAAAAAAAAAAAAAAAAAAAGGAAAGAAAGGGTTGGAGATGACTCAGTTTAGAGAAATGAAAAAGGCAACTTCAATACCACCAAACAAAGCTTGGCTTTCCCTCTCCCCAGATCTTCTATATTTGCTGGAGCTGGACTAAAAATAGACCTGGGCTGAAGGCCAGGGTAGAAAATAGAGCCACAGCACCAAAAGTGTTTAGTTTGTGACCTGTTCCCTTCCAACCTGGAAGGAATCACCCAGGCCTGGGTTTGGCCAGGTGCCGGGGGTGGCTTTCCCTGCAGGATGGGAGTGGGGCTTGGACAGCTCTGACCCCCTGCTCCCCTCGGCCCCAGCTGCTCTGAGAGCAGCCCTGGGAGGGGGAACAGAGAGGGGAACACGTCCCTGAACAGCGGCCAGGGCAGGAGGAGCCGGCCTGAGCTCCCCTGGCCCGGGAGGGTGCAGGGCAGGGGCCGAGATCGGAACCGAACGAGGAGGAGGAGGAGAAACAGCCCCGACCCTGTTGGCCCCACTCGCTGTCACCCTGGCACTGCCACACCCCCAAGTTTGGGCACTGCCATCGTCCCCAGGCATTGCCACCACTCCTCTGGCACTGCCACTGTCCCAGTGCCACTGTCCCACTGCCACCGCTCCTCTGGCACTGCCACTGTCCCCACTGTCCCCCCTGCCTGGGGCAGCTGAGGGGCTCTGAGGGGCTGGAATGTGAGCAGCAGGAGGGAGCCAGCCCCGCATGGGTGTCACAGCCGTGTGACCTCGGCGAGGAGCTGCCACTCACGGCACGGGTTCAGGTGGCAGCGGGATCTCCGGAGCAAAAAGAGCTGTGGCTGCTCCCATGGCAGGACAGCCCCTTCCTGGGCAGCAAGGTCCTCTCCAGGCGGGGAACCCCCTCTGCAATTAGTGCTCCAGTGAGCTTTTTCTATTTCATTGAATTCCAGACTGGTTTGGGTTGGGAGGGACCTCAAAGCCCACCCAGTGCCACCCCAGCCATGGCAGGGACACCTTCCCCTGTCCCAGGCTGCTCCCAGCCCCAATGTCCAACCTGGCCTTGGGCACTGCCAGGGATCCAGGGGCAGCCCCAGCTGCTCTGGGCACCCTGTGCCAGCCCTGCCCACCCTGCAGGGAACAATTCCTGCCCAATATCCCATCCAGCCCTGCCCTCTGGCACTGGGAGCCATGCCTTGCGTCCTGTCCCTCTATCCCTTGTCCCCAGTCCCTCTCCAGCTCTCCTGGAGCCCCTTTAGGCACTGGAAGGGTCTTTGAAGTCTTCCTGGAGCCTTCTCCTCTTCAGGGGAACACCTCCAGCTCTCCCAGCCTGGCTCCAGAGCAGAGGGGCTCCAGTCCTCGGAGTATCAGGAGATCACTTCAGGAGACAGTTTTTCCATGTGAGGAAGATTCAAAGTGCTTCAAAACCTCTCTGTACCCCACCCATGCACAGAAGTGACCAGGCAGGGCTCCAAAATACCTGTAAATCCCAGAGCACAGCATTTGCAGGAACAAAGAGCTCATTTGTCCCTGGCCTGCTACGCAAGAGGTTCTTTCTCTGCTTCAGTTTGGTTCTTCCTTTTTTTTCCCCAGCCTTCTGACTGAAGGCTTTGTGTGAGCAGGGTGATACCTGGCTCTTCCTCTCTCCATGGCCAGGAGCTGATGTTATCTGGGGGGATTTGGCAGTTCCCTGTGCTGCTCTGAGGGTTTCTGTCATCTGTGGTTTAGTGTTTAATTACATCAGAAAATATGGGGAACCAACCTCTCCCTCCCCCTTCCATGGGCTGCCACAAGGAAACGCGGCCCTACAGCAGGAGGGTTAATGGTGCTGTGGCAGAGATGGAAAAGGCAGGAGGGGAAGGGATAGGGTGAGGCTAAAGGGTCCCAACAGGACCCTTCAGTGAAACGGGTTTTCGGCCTGGGATTCCGGACTTGGTGGCAATGAGCGGGCGTTGGGTGTGTGCTGTGGGCAGTGTCTGAGTGACCTCCCCCTGCTCTGCACAGGGGGACAGAGCCCAGTTCTAGGGCAAAACGGGATGGTGAAGGCTTGGGGCCTGCAGTGACCAGCTTGGAGGGGAGGAGTGCAAATATCCGGGACAAGTGGGAGATCCCGGCCCTGAAAGACGCCGCAGAGCAAGAGCACACCCGACAAGGAGCGGCCCTGGAGCCCCCGCCACTCCTCCCATCCTATGCAAAGTGTGGGGCTCGCCCCTCAGTCCTGCCAGAATCCTCTTCCCTCTGGAATTTGCATGGAAAACAGGAGAGCGCAGCAGGTCCTGCCCGTGCCACAGCTCCTGCACGCTGGGAAACTCCTGCTGAGGAGGGACAGACAGAGGTGGCACCAAGACAGCGGAACAGGCAGGGGACAACGCACCACTGAGCAGCGACGCCCCAAACCTTCCCCTGGGCTCTTGAAGGCGCCAGTTGTGACCCTGGCAGGGACAGACATCATCCCGTGTGTGCCCGGCCATGCTCCTGCCCGCGGGGCCGTGTCCCTGGAAGCGACCACAGGGCTGGGGACGTTTCCATCGCTGCTGCTGCTCGCGGAGCCTTCCTGCCCCGGGCGGCTCTGCAGGGGGATGCGGGACTCGGCACCCGAGCAGTGACAGGGAACTGGCGAGGGTCGCTGATAGCCCGAGCTGCCTCCTCCTGCCTTTCTGTCCCACTCAGGAAGGAAGGAGGTTATTTTTAAACCTGGGGCCAGGTACGGAGCGGTACCAAAGGCTTTTCCTCGTGCAAAAGAAACGGGAAGTGATGCGGCGTCAGCTGCAGTTCCCACGCTCCCTCCAGAAGGATTTTCTTCCCGAAACCACTTCTCAGCAAAGCTCAGAGCCTCGGACCCTGCTCTAGGTACCAGGTGGGGCGAGAGGCCGATCCGGCACGGCCATGGCCACAGGTGGGGACAGCTCTGGTCGTGGCAGTCGCTGGCTGGCGAGGTTCCCTGGGATGGGGTTGCCCTGGGCACGGTGCCCAGCGGAGCCCGGGGCACACGCGTGGGGCACACGGGGCTCCAGCCAGGCGGGCAGGGCTGGCCTCACCCCAGCCTGCCCACACCCCACAGGGAGCAGCGCTCAGCTCCGTATTTGGGCTGGGTCTGCTGGGCCCCCACACCCCTCCCGTGTGCCAGCCCTGGACTGTGCCAGCCTGAAAACGGATCTCGGGATGCTCCAAGCACCAGGTCACCACCAGAGCCCCGAGCAGCCTCACCGGGGGGGCCTGGGTCTCAGCCCTGCTCTCCTGACAGAGTCACACGTGGTGACAGTGCCAGCCTGCTGAGCACGACCAGACCTGTTCCAGGCTCTGTCAGGGCGCAAACTGCTCCAGGAGCACATTCCAGAGGGGCCGCCCATCCCTGCCCAGGCTGCGTCCCCAGCTGGCAGCGGGCAGGAGCAGCCGGGGCAGCCGCAGGAGCTCTGAGCAAAAGCAGATGTGGGAGATGCTGCGGGCGGGAGGCGCTGGCAGAGGCACAAGCGCCGTGCCTGGAACGGGCGGCTGGAAAAGTGTCCTTGGATGGACTCCTGGTGTCCCGGAGCAACGCTGTTTGTTGGGAGGTGCGAGCACCCAGGCTCTCCCAGCCTCCCTGGGCGGCAGCGGAGCAGAGCCCGTCCCCTCCCGGGCTGGCTGGCAGCGGATCGGGGCCCGTCCCCTCCCGGGCTGGCTGGCGGCGGAGCAGGGGCCGGGCCAGCGGCAGGGCCGGTGCCAGGGGCGGTGCCGGGGCTCGCAGACTCATCCCAGAGCAGCCCGACCTGAGGGGCTGCTTTGAAGCCAGGGCAGGGCTGAGCCTCCCGCCCGTCCGGAGAGCTCTCGGCGCACGGGGACGGCTCTGTCACTTTTCTCTTCGAAAGAGGAAGCTGTCTCCAAATAACTCGGCGCTTCCCTTTCTGCCCTGCCCGCTTTGAAGCGGCTGCAGAGCCCGAGAGCTGCCGGCGCTCCTCCGGCCCCCGATGTCCCCTGCGGGACCCCGCCGTGCCCCCCGCTCTGGCCGGGCCCTCGGGGGAGGCTGTGACTCCCTGGGCCCCCCGAGCCCCCCCTGAGGAAGGTAAGAGCCCCGGGACCGCCGGGCGTGGGATTCCTGTGGCTCCGGCTCTGCCCCGAGCGGCCCCGCCGCTCTCGAGGCTGCTCCGTCAGTGCCCAGGGATTTGTCTGGGGCCGGGCATGGTGTGCCAGGGGTGACAGAAAGCCGTGGCTGGGGGCAGAGCCGTTCCTTTTCTCGGGAAGAGTGGGGGGAGGGAGCAGCGATGGTGCAGGAGATCAGGAATGTGCTGCTAAAGGAGTGTCTGTGCCAGCTGCCCTGCCAGCCGACAGGGTCCCGCTGGGCAGTGCCTTTGCCCTGCACCCTCTCGGACCCCGGCTGGGTTTGGTTTGGTGCCGGGCCCTCGGCCACCCCCGGGGACGGCCCGGCTGGGTGAGGGAGCGAGCTCCGTCCCCTCCCGGGGCTGCTGCGGCACCAGCCCGGGCTGCCTCGCTTTGTTCTGTGCGGAACAGCAGCTGCAAGGGACGGTCACCTGGCCAGTGCCACCCCCGGGGCTCCGTGTCCCAGCTCCCTTGCCAGGGGTCGTGCTGGGGATTTGGGGACGGCCGGGGGTGCTGCCGGCCCTGGCCCTGGCTGTGCGCGGCAGTGCGGCTGCCCAGCTCCCCTGCCCTTGGCCCGGAGCCTCTGCTGTCCCCTGGGGCCCCGAGCTGCAGTGACAGGGCAATAAAGAGCGATGGCAGCGGCGATAACGAGCACAGAGCGCGGCCCCCGTCCAGAACGGAAGCAAAAATCTGCAAGTTCGGGGCCCGAGCTGTGAAAAATGCAGGTGAGCCAACTCTGCAGCAGGCAGGGCTTAGTGCTCCTTCCCTGAGTGCTTTCCTCGGCATCCTCTGGCTGCTCAGAGCCATCTCCCCACGACCATTTATTTCCCCGGGATGCTGTTCCCTCCCACGAGAGCTCTCCAGGCATCTGTGCAGGTCAGCAGCTCTTTTTCTTTTCTTTCACTTAAAGCTTTGGCTCAGTGATCCTGGAGGTCTTTTCCAACCTAAACGATTCTGGGGTTCTGGGATTCTTCCTCCTGACTAAGCCTGAACACAGGAACAAATTCCCCTGGGCTTCCAGGACTTATTTATCACCTCTGAGTATCACACAGACTTGTCTTGGCCCCGGTGAGATGGCACAGGCAGCCAGCAGTAGTTTTATTGGAGTTCCCAATTGTGGGACCATGTGTCCAGGTTGCTCTGTGACACAAACACTGCTTTCTTTCTTTGCCCCAAAATGAGAGAAGTTCTGCTCGTGGAAGGGCCATGAGTGGCTCCTGCTCAGGCACCAACCTGTGCATCCCCACCGGAGCAGCTCCCGTGTTCTCTGCGTGTTCAGAGGGTTCCCCCTGGGGTCCTCTGAGCTCAGAGCAGCCCCGCTGGGATGTGGTGTCACCGCCCAGGTGACAAGGGTCATGCACAGCTGGCAGGGGTTTTCACATTCCCCAGCTCAGGTGGATTCAGGTTCCCACCTCCTCCCCAGCTTCTGACAGGTGGGGTAGGCACAGCTGCTGCCGTGACAGGGCCACCACGACCTTTCATCCATTGGATGTGGTGGGATGTGGGCAGGACCCCTCCCCAGCAGCCAAACTCTGATTTTCCCTTGGACCCCACTGCTCCAAGTGCTTGGGAAGGCACAGACCCTGGAGGAGCCTTGTCTTAGTGGTGGCACAGCCCCCACCTGGCCAGGGGGGCTCTCAGGGGCTGCTTTCCCTGTGGCTTTCTGCCTTGGCTGGGCTGTGCTCTATTCCTGGCTGCTCTGAAGGCAGGGGCTGAGTCACATCTCTGTTCTGAGGTGTGACACTCCTCGAAGAAGTGGAGGGGGCAGGAGAGCTGCTGTGAGAGATCTGTTCTGGTCCGGGTTTGACTGAGGCTTAGGGTGCTGCAGCTCTACAGGCCAGACTGGAATTCTGGGGTGCTCGCTGAAAGCAGAGAGGGCAGTTGCTGTCTGTGCCCTGTAATTAAATCCCCTTTTTGACCTCATTGTCCCGGTGCAACCCTAAACCCTCGTCCCTTCCTTGCTAAGGGCTTCTCTGCACCCTCCCTGCCAGCAGCTGTCACATCCCTCTGTGTCCACGGTGCCAAGAGAGCACTCCCAGCCCGGGCAGCCGCTGCCCACAGGGGTGGGAGCCATGCAGAGCGTGCTGTGCTCACTCTGGTCACCCTCTTCCTGTCACCCCCAGGCCATTCCTCCGTGGCCTCCCCGAGTCAGCTCCGCTGCGGCACCTGCGGGCAGCTCCCAGCAGAGGCTGGGGCTCCTCTGCTGTGGACAGGACAGCCCTGTGACCCTGCACAGAGCCGGCATGGGGACACTGTTCTGTCCCAGCCGGTGACACAGCTGGCTGTGACAGTGCAGGGCTGTCCGGTTGACGGTCCTGCCCAAGGGAAGGAGTGCCCAGGGAATGGGGCTGGAGGCAGGCTGGGAACAGCTGTGCCCCCTCCCACCCCAGGAAAGCAGCCTGGCCACTCCCAGGTTGGCCACATTTGGAAGTTTGAGCTGTCCCTGCTTTATTTCCCCTCAGGTGGACAGGGTTTGCCTGTCTGCTGTTTGTCAGCACAATCCTGGCAGTGGCTTTCAAATCACACATATTTTTTCCCTGTGATTGTTTTTCCAAAGTCGACTCTGGGGATGGAAAGAGATTCTAAATCTAAAAAGCTGCTGTTTCCGGAAAACTCTTTTCTTTCCTTAGGAAGAATGAAATGTGACGCTGGCAAGGAAGTCTCCAAACAGTCGGTGGTGTCCAGGAAGCTGCTGGACTTCCACAGCTTCAGCAAAGGCCTGGGAGCTCCTGCTGGGCTGCTGGACACCCACTGCAGTGCCACTGGAGGCGTTTCATTACTGAACTGCCCCCAAGAGCCATCCATGCTCTCCCCCTCCATGGGCAGGGCTCCCCTGGCAGGGCTGTGCCTTCTCAGAGCAGCCAGCAGGCAAATGGAGCCTCAAAGAGATGCTGAAAAGCCAAGTCTGGGCTCGAGATTCTCTTCCTTGGCAGTAGGAGCCCGAGGGAGAGCATATACTTTCATCTCAGAGCTGTCTGGAGCCAGAGCCCTTCCAGGGTTGGAGTTAAAACTGGAAATCAGAGCAGGAGTGGGGCTCAGGCTGGGCCCCAGCGCATGTGGTGCTCCCAGCCCTCCTGCAGGTCTCCACTCCAGTGGCATGTCCAAAGGGACCAGCAAGGAGACAGGGCAGCTTTCTGTGGGGTTTGAGTGTCACACCCAAAGTTTTTCCCAGTTTTCATTTGAACAGAGAGCCATTGGAGCGGCTGATGGAAGGCAGAGGAGCAGAGCCTGCCCTCGCTGCTCACCCTTGGCCACGGTCCAGAGGGCCCTGGAGCTGCTGTTGCCTGGACAGCCAGGAGGGCTGGAGGAGAGAAAGCTGCCTTTGTCCTGCTTTCCTACCTGGGCTGTGCAGCTGGGCTGGAGGTCGGGATCCAGGCCAGAGACAGTGGATGCTGCACTGGCAGACAGAGTTTGAGAGGAGGGAGCAAACAGGACACAGATCTGCCTCTGGTGGGGTGCCCTGCAGCTCCAGCCTGGTCTGCGGTGAGGGTGTGAGGGATGGAAAGGGTTAGGGGACTAGGGGTGTAAGGAGCTAGGGGTGTAGGGGGTGAAGGGGTATAAGGAATTAAGGGGTGTCAGGGATGCTGCTGGAGCTGTTTCTCAGTGTTTGGGAACTGCCAGTGCAGTTTGGGGCAGCCCAGAGGATGCAATGTCAGACCCCCAGCGCAGCTTGGGGGACACGGCCCTTCAGCTCCCACACTCCCCTCTGGTTCCCATCCCATCCCATCCCGTCCCGTCCCGTCCCGTCCCGTCCCGTCCCGTCCCGTCCATCCCGTCCCGTCCCGTCCCGTCCCGTCCCGTCCCG